GCTGTTGTTTTATTTTTTGAACTTTTTGTCGTTTGACGTTCTTTTAATTAAATTTAATTATAGTATAGTACTATACAATATTATTTATTATTTTTATTTTACAAACAAGGCCTCGACTACAAAGGTCATTGGCCACACAATATAATTATTTTATTAACTTTTTAATGTACAAACATAATATATCCTAGGCACACAATGATATTTAATTACCTTTTTGTGTTTAAGTCTTGATTACATGAATAAATTCTTAACTTTTTAGTACAACATTTTGTTTCTTCATTTCTATACCATTCCAGTGTTCGATACTCAGTAGGCACTAGCCTGAGTTGTAGGCGGTTCATAGAATAATACTATAATAGTATATAGCCATATAGGTAGTAGAGTTTTAATTTTAAGGCAGTCACAGTCCGCAGTAGTTGTTCTTCGCGCGCCAATATTATCACAATAGTTATTGTGTGGACATTAAAAATAATAATTTTGTTTCGAAGAATGGGCAACACTGCATCTCAACTTCTCATGACCGTACACTCTGGGTTCCGTCTATAAGTATAAGGTCTATGGTCCCAATATAGTCAAAATGTATTCATTTTTACGGCTCATAATCATACACCAAATAATGAATATTGAAAATATATTGTAGTACTTACCTAAGAACTAAAATAGTAAAATATAATACTAAATACATTTTTAAGCTGAAAGTGATTAGCACATAAATAATTTAAAAAAATAGAATATATATCTATACTCTGAAATTTTATAAGCTATAATAATATGGAATAAGCTTAAAAACAATTTAGAAAATGTCTAGGCTATATACTTTAGAGGAAGAACAATTGCCCAGTTCAATATTTAAAATGGTTACTGAAGTACAAGATTTGCTTTCCTTGTAATGATCTTACATTTTATTTTATTTTAGTAGTTAATTAATTCATAAGATTTATGGTGTTTGTGAATTTAAATTATTATTTACTAATGTAGCCAAGTAGGAAGTGGCGTTTAAAATAGGTTCTAATGTTGCTAAGGGCCTCAGGCACCACCTTAAAAACGAAATAAGTATGAATAATTTATTATAAATATTTAAAATTAGAATGTAACTTAACTTTTCATTGATTGGATAAGTTGTTTTAATTTTACACCGTTATGTTATTTGGTATCAACTAAGAAATGACAATCATCAAAAATGTTTAAAATCAAAAAAAATAATAATTGCGTAATACAAACTTTATTTATTATAATTAATTTTAAATAAGACTGCAGTTATTTTTCAAATTACTTTCTATAAATTGCAAAATATTTTTGTCAGAAACAAATAATAAAAATGCTAGTTATGACAGAAAATCGTACTCAATAATAAATTTATAAATATTATCAACTGGTTTTTAAAATGCGTTAAAAAAATAGAACAAAAAATAATTTTACTACAAATGTTAAATTACACATTAATTAGTCACCTACACTGTATCAGTCGGGTATGTATGCAATTTTTTAATAAAAGTAATCTACATTTAAGTTAATCTTAAAAATTATATAGATTGAAGGTATATTTCATTGTCAACTTTATTTCAATACCTAATACCAGTATACCAATGAGCCATACACAATTATACCTACATCATTTGATTGTTATACAGCCTTATACATTTTCAAACAGTTTTTGAATTTATTTTAATCATTGCTAAAGAGGGGCATATATTACCAAAAAAAAAAATTAATTAGAAAATCTGCATTATACTTTGAATTACAGTCTTATCCTGATTTATAGATTTACTTTTTATGTGATTTCAGATATACGATTATTTTTAAGGTATGATAAAATAAATAATTTTATTTTAATGAAAATTTAACAATAAATTAATACTCAAGTTTTATAACACTGGTACTTAAAATGCATTCAAATGTGGTATACCTAGGTCTAAAAATTATACTATAGAATTAAAATATTATTAGTATATAAAAATGAGTCATTGAAAAGAAAATTAAGTTAGATACTTCGGATTTGATAAATCCAAATAATTCAGATTTTTGAAATCTGGATATGCCCATTCCCCATCACCAACAGCTAGTGACTTTCCAATTAATTATTATTACATATAGTTAAACAAATAACTACTAAGTAAATCATTAGAATTTAGAAATCAGTATTAAATTTAATTATGATATTAATTTAAAGCATGGATTTTAGTGTATGATAAATAAAAAAAAAAACACTACAAATTACTTTATTAATAAAGTAATTTAAAAAAATTGATTTGATTTTCAAACTGATTTAACAAAAACCAGTTTTTATTCAATGTTTGACATATATTGATAACTGTAATTACTATGATACATAATTATAAACGTATTTTTTCATTTCTTATTATTTAATTAATTGTTTGGATTAATAAGGTATGTTCAACATATTAATATGCCACAACTGAAATAATTGCAAAAAATCAATAAAATATTGACTTATTTAGAATTGGAATAACACAAAAGAAATTTATGAATAAAGTTAGATTTCAATTTTATATTTTAAACAGAATTAGAAGCATATTCGATATGTTAGAAAATAATTATAATTAACATACAAATACTATTTACTACCATAAAATAATAGCTGAAAAAATGTAAACAAATTAAGTTAGGAAGAACAGAATAAATAAAATGATTAAGTTATAAATGTTGATATGAACTTATTAATTATTATACGCTTTAGTTTAAAATTCTGTAATATAATTTATAATATAGTAGATATCATTTAATTTTTTTTTATTTAGTATGTTAACATCCCACCTGTTATCAAAAAATAAAAAATAAAAGATCAAGTTCAACAAWAAATTACAACACATTAGTCATATATTTCTAAATTTTAAATTACAATTAAACTATAAATACGACAAATATGAAAAGCATGATAGAATAATTTATTAAGATTTCAAATACTTCTCTTTTTACTATAAAATTTAAAAATCAAGTCTTCTTATAATCAAACATAAGTCATTGACAAAATAATTCTATTCACAAACATTATTCAGAGTGCATATAGTGCTTTTTGATTAAATAAAGTAACTAATTACCCTCTGATGGGTGCCATTGGTACCCATTGGGTGGTAGAGGGAGAAACACAGAATAAATAAGTACATAAATAAAAGGAAATACTGCCGCTTAAAGAATATACCTAATTTAAAAGTCATCATTAGTTATTTCCATTGTTGATAATTGAGGACTTTCAACAACAGCCACTGAAGCTTTTTGGTAATCGCCTACTCTTTTTTCAAAAAAGTTTGTCTTTCCTTGTTGAGATATAAGTTCCATAAATGGGAATGGATTTGATGATCTGTAAACCTATAATTTACACAATTAATTAAATTTTTAAGTAAATTATTATTATTACCATAATAAATAAATATACGTACTGTAGGACAACCCAATTCAGCTAACAGTCTATCAGCAACAAATTCAATATATATGGCCATCTTTTCACAACTCATGCCAACCATTCTAACAGGTAAAGCATTTGTCAAAAAATCTTGTTCAATAGTCACAGCTTCACAAATTATATGCGTGATAACAGCTTGAGGTGGCTTTTGAATTAAGTGTTTAAATAAGAGACAGGCAAAATCTGTATGTAAACCCTTAACACATAAAAGTAATAAAATATGTGATATTTATTATATATCTTTCAAACATTAACATACTTCATCTCTAGAAATCAGCTCATTGCTAAAAGTTAATCCTGGCATTAATCCTCTTTTCTTCAACCAAAATAATGCAGCAAAACTTCCAGAGAAAAATATACCTTCCACAGCAGCAAATGCAACTAACCTTTCACCAAAAGTTGCTTTGCTATCACTTATCCATTTAAGAGCCCAATCTGCCTTCTTTTTTACACATGGCATGGTTTCAATGGCATTAAATAAAAAGTCTCTATATGTAAAAAAAAATAGCAAAATTTAGTCATATATTATTAAGAAAAATAAATTAACCAAAAAACTTATAAATGTACTTTTCTTTTGGGTCCTGAATATATGTATCAATTAATAAGCTATACATTTCTGAATGTATATTCTCCATCATTATTTGGAATCCATAAAAACATCTAGCCTCAGTTACTTGAACTTCTTGAGAAAATCGTTCAACAAGATTTTCATTAACAATGCCATCTGAAGCAGCAAAAAATGCTAATACGTGGGATACAAAATGACGTTCATCATCAGTCAATCTAATCCAATCATCAAGATCCTAAAAAAAAGTCCACTTTAATTAGAAAATTACTTTTAGTCACATAGATGAACTAGAATTTTACACTTTTCAAATTGACTTCTTCAACATTCCAAAAAGAGGCTTCTTGTTTTTTATACATAGCCCAAATATCGTCATATATAATAGGGAATATAACAAAACGTCTTGGATTATCTTTTAATAAGGGCTCGATTGTGGCATCAAAATTTGCTCTATATGAAGTCACAGAGTCCAAAAAATTTTTATTTGTCATCTGAAAACAAAATAAATAATTAGAATACAAAAACTAAAGTAGTATTAATTTAAAACAGTTTTCAATGCAATTTAAAATTTTATATACTTATTTATCTATATCAGAATCAGTGGGATAACCGAGTAATGGACTGGCGAGAGGGGGTAAAATAATTTATTGACTACCAAATCAAAACCCTGAATCTTTCTTTTCATCAATTAATTGATCTTGATTCTAGGATTACACAAAATAACTAACAAGGCAGCAAGTTTTTTTTCTTAATTGTTAAAATAGCTTAGGCAACGGATTAAAATTAATAACTTTATTACTATTTTAATTTTTGAGCAAATCAAATAATGTACTGGTTATAATATGTGGGTTTGTTAAATATTTTTTTTTTTGTTTTATATACATTTAAATTATTAAGAGTTATTTGAAGTTGGGTGGTTGGCGTCAAACTCGGAATTAAAGAACGTAAAATGCTGAAATATGTGCTTGTTCCAAATTATCGTAAATTAAAAACTAGCTAATTACTTTCATAAATTATTCATTAACAATTATTGTTTTCAAAAGGTTTAAATACTTAGATATAAAATTATATTTAAAAAACTACAAGGCAACCAAACTGCATTTGCATTATGTACTTAAATCAACCATGGCTAAATTGTCTCAAGTACCTAATGAACCAACTGCACTGTATGTATTATTGTAACAACATATTTTTAAAAAATGTATGTCT